GTGGCACACCGCACACACCACGCACACCGGACGTGCCACACGCATGCCGCACCGCGTACAAAAGGCAAAGATCCCCCGTATAGCCTTAACAGACTGTAGGGGCAAGTGCTGTTTGCAAGCACCTATGAAGGCCGGCACGGCGCACGAGGGGGTCGGTGGCCAACATCACGCCAGCATCACGCCCGGCCGCCTTTGTCTTTCCAGTGGCGATGTTTTACACACCGCAGCAGGTACCCATTTGTGACCGAGTTGACCTAGGGGAGGCCCAAAACCCGTTCGGATAATCCGCACTGGTGTTGGCCGTGAGCGGGAATTAAACTCGGGTCGCCGGGTTCGTAGCGCAGCGCGCTAACCGCTACACTACCGCTCCCCACAACACCCCACACACGAACCACACACACGTGCTACCGCACGGACGCGTTTGATCCAACAAAGCGTACAGCACCACACGCACGGGCAGTGCCAGAAAACACGTGACCCGTACACCGCCAGGCACGCTCGTGCATTTAAACAAAAAACTAAACTTTTTTATGTTACCAGGTAAGGCCCTCTTTTCCAGAAGCGTCCTGGCCACAAATGATAGCTCAACGAAGTGGCTCATGAGGTGGAGCTTTTGTTTGCTACTAATGTATAGTAGAAGCCCAGTAAATACTCTAAATGCGTGACGTTGATTCTAAACGGAGAGGGAAAAAAAAACGGGGGAACCGGAGAAAAATCCACGCAACCACGGGGAAAGAGACACGCAAACTCCAAATATATAACCATAATACAGGTTGTTTGGGTTGGATAGATACGAGGTCCAACCCAAAAAACCTTTATTATGGATGATACTGGTCGCGAAAACTCCAAATATACAGCAGCAGGCATCATGGTCGGGATTGAACCCACGACCTCCTGCGTACCAGGCGAGGTAGTTAACATCTTGCTCCACTGTGGCACTGTTTGGGGGGGGGAGGAGGCGCGCGCGTGCGTCTGGGGGGGTGAGCTCACCGCAGCGTCTTGTGCAGGCGGTGCGTGCAGTCGAGGGCCACGGGGTGGTGGCGCCGCGCCTGCAGGAAGCGCTGCACGTGGGGCAGCAGCAGGTTGCTGGGTGGGAAGGAGCCCAGCGCCAGCCACAGCAGCTCCCAGCCACGCTCCTCGCTGTACCTGGACGCACACACACACACGGGCACGCTCACGCACGCACACAGACACGCGCGCACACGCACACACACAACAACGACGACCGCCATCCGCCACTAAGTGGCGGTGATGTCACCACGGCGCTTGTGCCGGGAATGTGCACGTTAAGGTCACGTGAAGTGTCGAACGCTCGCCGACAGGAGGTCACGGGACAGACATTGGTGCCACCGGTTGACTGACTGAGATGAGTGGCCGATGCACCACCTGTGCCCCCTACTGTGCCAACTTGCTATGCTTTAGCCACACGGCGCTCCGCTCGTTGTTGTGAACGTCGCTCCTCTGCCCTCTGCTGTTTGTGGAAGGCAACTGCCTTCAACTGTCCAGTAGCGCCCTTCATGAGCCTCCTCCATAGAAGCCGATCTTGACACCGCTGGTACCAGCAGGGCCAGATCATGGTCCCGTGGGGCCCCAAATGTCTTTTGGGGCCCCCCCCCCCCCCCCCGCTTTTCTATATTGGTGTCTTTCTTGCCTTCCTCCTCGCAAAATCATCCACTAGATGGTAAAAATCTCGCTGTCTGACAAGGTCCGACTGTTGACATGAGTGACAGTGAGCTGAGATGTGTTTGGCAACACGCTACTCCACAGCTCATTTTTTATTCTGCCTAAAAGGGAAATATCCGCTCACCCTGGCAGTTTGTTACTGGCAAAGTTAGAAAAATCCAAAGTGCCACGAAAACATTGGGGAACACCGACTGCAGATGAAGTGCCTACAACGTCTCAAGCAATTTAGTTGGGCACTTCTCACCCTCAGACATGAGAGACTTGAATTGGATGAGTTCATTGGCAAAGTTCATGTCCAGATGTGATGTATATGCAGCGGCGAGTGCATTTACCTTGTCCACTATGACATCACTGTTAGACACCTGATCTGACATCAACAGAAATCCAAAGAGACCGGTCAAATGCTTGTAAGCGTCAAAGCGATGTTCAAGGCATGCCACTCGCTTATCAGTGACCACACAAAATGTTTCTATTTTTAACTTCTCCCTCCCCTCATCTGCAAATGTTTTGCGTTTCCTCTTTCGCTGAAGATCGTGCTCAGATGACTGAGAGACACCTGTCACATTTAAGGCTGCCCTTTCAAAAGCCTCAAACTGGTTTCGCTGTTCCGCCACAAAATCCCTCAACGAACACAAAAGCTGCACTGCTACAGAGAAGTCAACGCCACTTGTCTGTAGGTGCATGCTTGTCGCGTGGAACCGGTCAAGCACGACGTCCCAGAAATGTGCCATGAACACCATCTCTAAGGTGTCCAATTTAGCACGTAGTCCATTATCATCATTGCACACACCACCGAAGGCCTCTCGAATGTGGATGTCATTTCTCCACAGTGCCTTGATTGACTCTGCCCTGAGCACTCCACCGAGTGCTGGACAGCGATTTTAATGTCATCTGACATCTGTGTGTGGATGAAGAGCAAATTGTGTACAGTGACTGCAACATGTTAAAAAACTCGTCAGCTTCTGGGCTACTGCCATCTAAGGTGTTAACACCAACTAAGTTAAGTGAATGCGCTGCGCAAGGCACATTCTATCAGAGGGTTTTTTTTGTTTCAGGTGGGCCTGTAGCCCATTGTATTTTCCTGACATGTTGCTTGCATTGTCATGTGACTGACCTCTACATTTTGAGAGGTCCAACCCAAGGCCCTCCACCATCAGAGTCACACAGTCTGCTCAACTTTTACCAGTGTGCCTCTCAATTGGCTCAAAGTGCAGGAATCGCTCCATCACCTTCCTGCTGTTAACAAACCGGAATATGAACGTCAATCGGTCCACATGTGACAGGTCTGGGGTGGAGTCAACAATTATTGAAAAATATTTGGCATCCCGAATCTCATCTGCTATTGTGTGGCGAGTTCTCTGACCCATTAGCTCAATGAGTTCTTCACATTTTGTCGACGACAAATAGGATACCGTGCCTCTATTCCTTTTCCGCCAAACTTTAAACATGTTCAGCTCAGAATGGGTCAAATTGCAATTCTAGGATGCCAATGAAATTACCGTCATGGGTTGATCCAAACCGTTCATCATCTCCCATAAACGCAAATCCTCTTTCACCCATGAACTTGATCACTGCTACAACTCGTTTCAAAATGTCCCTCCAGCATTTACGTTCCCCATCAAAGTTGCTGCATGCGATCTGCATCTACAGCACTGCCCTTTGTCCGCTGGAGCAAGGCAAGCGTGCATGATCTGTGTTCTGCGCTCTTTGCGTGTTCCCCTATTCTTCAGAGTGATTCCAGTCACTAAACCCCTGACTAAAGCCACCGAGCTTGCTAAAGAACAGTTTGCATGCAAAACAGTGCACACAACCTGTTGAGGGTGAGTACATTAGCCTCTGTCTAGAAACCTTCTGCCCATTTGGCAATATACAGTTCAGAAGTTCATCGTTGAAACTTCTAGTCTGTCCACCAAGCGCTCTATCTCGGTCTGAAGCTGGGGATTATCTACTGCGGTTGTGGAAGGGGACTGCTCCTCTTTCAATAAGCACCGACTTAACAATGTCACTGGAAGTGCTTTGCCATAATGGTGGGTCAGTGACCTCATAGCACCAGGAATGGCTTTGGTTGCTGATTTGATTCCTGTGAACTGCCCAACTGCTCCTGAGGTGGAAATGACGGTTCTTGTATTATACCATTAGCTGCTGAGGGTTCACCTTCAAAGGATGGCTCTAGGGGAGTGACAACATGACTGGAAACTGAACTAGTGCTGGTTCCTTCCTCACAGCTGACAATATTGCTGCTGTCATCATCGTTACTATCAGAGGGTTTTTGAAATAAGTTGCCAATGAGTGGAACACTTTGAAGCAAAATTTCGGAACTAGTATGCTATTTATATGAATACATTTTTATAGCATATCTCAATACTTATTAAATAATAATTGAATTAATATATATTAATAATGACAACACCCTTCAAATACTGTTGTTGTAAAATACAATCACGTGGTAGTATTTTATCGTCTACTTGTACCTAAAGGCAGCTTTGAGTAGCAATCTTGATTTGAAGCTTTCGTGACTGCAGGGATCCATATACTCTTTGGTTCTTTTGGTAAAGTCACGTGGGTATACAACAAAATCATATCTACATGACTTTACCGAAAGAACCAAAGAGTATAGCTTTGAGTAGATAAAATAAAAAACATAGAAAAGCACGTAAAATGAAATAACCCTAACCCTTTAAAAAGGCTGTGGGAAAATAGCCCTTCGGAGGGATTGTTGAAATCGCCTCTAAAAAGGCTGATGTTTTAGAAAAAGATTTAAAAAGTCTGAATATATTTACTGTGGCGAACCAAGCAAGAAAGCAGGCATCTGTCTGTGGCTTTTCCTACCAAGAAACGTCTCATAGACCTGCCTGACACAGAGAGAATTATGTTGCTTGAAATTCAAAAGATGACTTTTTTTCATTGGCTGAACAACCAACAAAGGTTTCTGATAAGTCAGTGAAGTGACTTGGTGCAGACGATGCATGAAGGCCACACCCCATGTCAACGTGAGCATTATCCACTTCCGTGGTTATAAAAACTGACAGTCTATGGAAACACTGAATGGGGCTTTCCGTCATCTTTAAGTATGGATTGGGTCTCTTATATATGCGTTAGTCTATGAAAAAATATAGCTTTTGGCATATGTTTTAATGTTTCACAAAACCGCGGTGTATTTTTTATAATTAATTTGTCAACGGCTAACTAAGCTCTCACCAAACGACGAGTCCTCGGTTTTACTAGCGGGCTTCTTAGTGCAGCTAATTTGGTTGTGAGGGCAGTAAGCTGGCAAAAATGTCAGCTAGCGAACTAACTTGTGTTAACAAGCTGAATCATCTGGACAGCTAGCTAGAGGAAATGGGTAGCTAGCTAAAACAAAGTGATAGCGAGTTACGGTGAGTCAAATAACGAACGGCTTGCCATCATATGACGCCCTTCAAACCGTCCTGTTATGCAGAATGGACTGACTTGTTGGTGAATATTTATCACGTCACAGCGTATTGTAGCGTGCCAACCAGTGGCTCAGCAGTACGGAAGCACTGCACTCTCCTAGCGGCTCTCGTTTAAGCATGCACTGTACGTGCCAAGGGGCCCCCCAGGTGTTACACTCGATGTGTGCACCGAGGGGCCTGGGGCCCTAGTGGTGAGCTCACTCTTTAAACACCGAGGGATCTGGGGGGCCCTCACATTGTAAGCGCCGAGGGGTCTGGGGGGCAGTAGTGGTGAGCTCACTCTTGAAGCACCCAGGGGCCGAGTGGTCAGCTTGCGCTGTGCGCACTCAGGCGCCTGGCGTTCAACTTCCTTCGGAAGTCTTGGACCACGTACCGCGCCCGTTTAGTCTCCTCTATCTGACTGAACAAAAGCTGTTTAGGCATGCGGTGACTGGGTATGTGGGCTACATAACCCAGCTAACGCAGCCTTGCCTGCCGGAGGAGGTCACCGAGGATCTGTGAGCTCCGTACATAATCCGGCCTGGTTAAACCCTGAGATGGATCGTAGGCAGGCCAGCCTAAATGTTTCTAACTGGCGAAGATACTCCATTAGGGGGGTCCACGTTTCGCAAGCATAGAGAAGGGAGGGCATGACCATGGCCGATAAGACCCGAAGCTTCGTGTGGCATGACAGACCAGGTATCTTCCACACTGCGTTATGCAGCCAATTAAATTATAATGCCGCTCGACTGATTCGGAGCGAGACCTCTGCTGTCAAACCGGAGCTGGTCATAAGCACACTGCCCAGGTATGCTTATGACCAGCAATCTCTCCACAACTGCCCACCATCAATGGCACAACATACCACACACGCACACACACACAGATAAAGGTCCCCTGGGCAGCCCACACTCACGCTAGTGGGGCAAGTGCCGTGAGCGAGAAGCGCCTTTGAGAAGGCCGCCACGGCGTACGAGAAGGGGCGGTGTCCGGTCCCCGCGTGTCCCTCCACGTCCATCCGTGCACCCCCCGCGTCCCCACCGTACGTAATCAACTTGGTTGGCGCTCCGTGTGCCCCCCGTGCCCCCCCCCCCGTGTCCCCGCGTGCGTACTTGACATGGTTGTCGGTGAGCTGCTTGATGATCTGGCAGATGATCTCGTCCTTGAGGGGCTCGGTGTGCAGCGCCGCCTCGAACACCTGGTCCGTGAGCTCGTTCCCCCAGCGTGCCCGCCGCGACGGGTAGTCCCCCATGTACTTCAGCACCGGTGCGGTGCCGTCAAGGACTCGCAACGCCACACCGCGCCCCGCACACTCACAAAAAACAACCACGCTCACAGACTCACAAAAAACAACCACGCTCACAGACTCACAAAGGGTGGTTGGCAGATCACACGGGGAGGCCGCCAGAGTACGATGGCAGTACAGCAAGCGGGATGATGCCCATCTGTACTATGGGGATTGAGTGTTTACTCCTCTCCGGTTTTCTCCGGGTACTCCGCTTACGTCCCACGTGGTGCAATCCACTCACTCATTAACGGGCTTGGCTAAACATACCAATATAAGAGCACCGAATGAGTGAGTAGGTGACTCAGTAAGCGAGTGACTAAGTGAGTTTGTGAGTGAGAGAGGAGCCTGGGGGTTGATCAAAGCGCAAATGAGATGCCCGCTAGCGCCCGCTGGCGCCCGCTAGCGCCCGCGAGCTTGAGTGTGAGTGGTGAGGATATCCATGAAGGCCATGCAGGCCTCTTGGCTCATCTCCTCGGTGGTGGCCGCCTTGCGCAGCAGCGGCTGCTTGAGGGGCTCCCGGGTGCAGGCCCACAGGCGCTCGCGGCCCCGCGAGCGCGCCATCATCACGCGGCTGAGCGTGTGCTTCGGGGGCGCCCTGATCCCTCGCCGGGGGGGGGGGGAGCAGGGGGGAGAGGGGATCGTGGGGGAGAAGAAGAGTTCGTGGGCGGGGAGAGGGGATTGCGGGCAGGGAGAGGGATCACGGTGAGCG